ATGACCAGGGTGATTACCGGCTGGCATTTGCCACTTTACTATAAGGGACCTAGAAAGCTCCTCGGTCTAGTGACGTACTTACATAAGTAGTCGCGCAATCACACCAAGATTTTCGTTCACCATTGGCGTCTTTCGAATAAGAGTGATAAAAGTTCGTGGGACGCTAATTTTTAGCGTAAATTTGAAGGTATCAATCAGAGCTTGATGCAATCGCCCGTCTTGGCTATTGCATACAAAGACAGGCTATTTCATGTGATCTGTGAAGTCAGAAATTTTGCAATCCTCTGCGCGTTGATGCAGTAAGATGCAGACAGCGCAGAGAGCGTCGTCTAGTAATCGCGTCAGGTGCAAGACGCTAAGCGTAATGAACCAGTGCATGACAAAGGAAACATTTCCACGAAGTATGCACTGCAGAAGCGTTGCCTCTATCTTCTTGTAGATAGGCTGTTTGTAGATACGGACCATGCGTCATTACGCACAGCTCACACATCTTGCAAAGGATAAAGATATGGCTGTCATTGTCTGTGGATTATAAATTCACCTTGGAGAGCAAATCCGAACAACTAAATGTCTTCCCAGATGCGTTGTCGCGCCGACCCGATTTCTATTCGGCCACGCAATTCAACAGTGGGGCAGATACCACTGTTGCAATGCTAGTCACCAGTGTTCCATCGTCAACGTATTTTAAAACATAAAACAATTTACGCGGAAGATAAGGCTCTTTTGCGAGAAATGGATCATCTGATGTTCACTTCTTGCACATCTCTTTAAGATTTACTGGCCTTGTTTCAATCATCCGCAGATCGATACAAAACAAGCAACAAGTGCTGTACTAAACAGCCGTTTACGGCGACACACCTCGTGTTGTCGTCCCCACTCATGACAATTTCGCTTGCGCATCGATTATGAGTGCCATGATGCACCACATTTCGGGCATCGTGGGCGTGAGAGGACTTATCAAACGGTTAGTCGCAACTTTTACTGGCCCATTCAGTATCAGTTTGTGCGCAAGTACATTCGTAATTTTGAAGTGTGTCAACACGTAAAGCCTACTCCTCCATCTCGTGCGCCACTACAGCCTCTACCAATCCCGGCAGAGCGCTGGAAGTCCGTCTCAATGGGCTTCGTCTTTAATTTCCCCGATGACCGTCGCAGGAATTATGGTATTCTTGTGTTCATAGACCTATTCAGCCAAATGGTTCATCTTGCTGCATAAAAAAATCAATCACAGCACAGGGATGTGCCTGTGTTTTCATATACACAGAATGTAGACTCCGCGGTACACCCCGTAAACCCGTCTCTGATAGAGGTTCTCGGCTCACAGCGGCGTCTTGGCATCCGTGTCTCTTTCCCCCGGAACACGTCTGAATATGTCTACTTCTGACCATACCGAGACTTATGGCCAGGCGAAACGCGTTCCCGCGTTCACGAAGAGATAATTTGCGAATATGTCCCATCCTTCACAGATTGAAGCGAATTTTAACCGATGATGGAGTTAACAATCAAAACCTCCGTGCATGCGTCGACAACGCATTCATAATTTTTCATGAATTGGTCATGCCATCCACTCCTACCCACCTATTTGGAGTGTGACTCTGCTTAAGGGGGAAGGGATTTGCTAAAGCAAAAACAGTTCTGGCTCTTGCTCATCACGTGTCAAAGTACTCGACGACACAAATGTTGCCGATGTCGATCATTTTAACATTTAATGAGACAACAACAGAAATAGGGACGACACTACTGCTGGTCCAGACGAGGGCGAAGATACTGGTACATTTATGAATTTTAATGACTACGCCAGCGAGGATATTTAAAACCTCGCTGAGGAAAATATACAGCTCCTAGCAGTGCGCACTACGCACACTGATACCGACACAACAAAGTCATCAGAGATTATTAGTTGACTCAAGAAGAAGTGGCCCATTGTTGAGCAAGACTCCTTTTCTCGAGCGGTAGACTGGCAGAAATGGAACGATGGCAAACACGAAAGAGCATACGTTCTTCTATTTGATGTTGAAGACTTATTTCTAATGTCTTCAATAAATTTACCTAAGATCGTAGTAACTAATGTGGGTAGAAGTAAGCTATTGCTGTAGTAAATCGGGCCGTTTCGTCTTTTACACCGCAAAGGCAGTGCGTAAACGATCGAGTTACCCCGCAGGACGCACACGCATCCTACGGGTTATGTCGGCCGTCTCCGCCCGTACTATTAGCATGAGGTCTCTCCCTCGAGCGAAAGCACCCTCCGAGCTAAGAATATATTCGAGATTCTAAGCGAGCCAGTTTTTCAATCTGGCTCTTAAGTGCCTCATTTTGGCGACAAAGGTCAGACACTTCGTTTCGAGAAGCTTGAAGCATTTTCTCTTTCTCCACTTGGTAAAACGTAAACTATGCTCGATCACCAGACTGATGAAGGCGGAGTTGTTGCATCCACGCATCCAAAGAGAGACGCTCCTGTCTCTCTTGATCGATGCAATCGCACAGATCGCGTAATCATTGCTGAACACTATCTAGCTTTGTCTGCAACTCCAACACATCTTCCCGCCCCCACCACAGCCTTTGGTGGAATCGCACATTGGTCAACGCTATCTTGTGGAGCGTATGACCACCGTAATGTAAAGGTGCAGCGAACGAGTTCTCTTGGTAGCTCGCGCGGCTATCCGCTGTCGCACGACAGCTGGGCGTCTTGCGCCTAGCTGATGGGTGATGTTTAGGGTCTCATCCACTAGTACGACGAGACACGTCCAACGACGCGTTGAGAAAAAACGCGCCAGGGCACTGGTAGAGTGATTGCAGTCTTTCTTATCGCATCGCGCATCTCGTAAGAGATGTGCGTCCTACCCCAAGGCGAAGATAGGTAGTAAACGTCCCTTTGGCTGTGTCGCGTGTTGTCGAAACAACGCATACATGGTTCACCCAACGTGAGGAGCGAAAAATTTTGCCTTACGAGACAGATAGTTTATCATGGCTTTTGCACTGGTAAAGGTCCGTTTCTCAAACCTGACACGAGCTGCGTCAAATTTTTAAATCCATGCATCACGCCCAATATGTGCTTCACATTGAGTATATGGGCATTCACGCCTGCAATGACGAGCTTTATCTCGTTTTGTTGCTCCTAACACAACGACGCTTAAGAAAAGCATCCCGATAAAATTCCTCTCCATCGCGAAAGATGCTCGCGCTGATGTCGAGGCCGTGCAACAGCCTCACACCGAACATTGGGATTCGATGATGTGGACTTGTCTCGCCTGACAAGTCATTCTCAAGCCTTTTTGATAGTACCCAAGGCTTGTGTTCGGGGGATAGACGCAGTACATCGCTGTCTAGAGCCTCCTACGTGGTACCAACGGAAGTCTTGGTACACACTACAATCGTAATCAGGACGTTGGAGCACATCACCGCCCTCGCTAAAAAGCGATTGCGCAGTAGCAGGCGCACGAAATGAGTCATAATACTCATTCTTCAAACTAAACAGGCTCTTGTAGTGACCATGAGCCTGAATACCCGCTCGAGTCCTATCGGGAGGCTAGTACTCGGTTTCCCTTTCAGATTCGGGCGACCTAAGATCCTCTTCGAGTCGGACCGACCGTCCGACTCCTCCGAGTGAATGAGTTCCTCTTAGGAACCCATTATATCGTCAGCACGTGGTGACACACCACGTGCCTCTGCATCTATCGATACTGTAAGAAGAGTTGAAGCGGCAGAAGACTAAACGTTGTCTACCGCAAGAGGCGGGCATCGTCAAGAGCAGCTGAGTTAACACGCGTAGCTGCCTTCTCAGCAGCTTCCGCCGCGCATTACTCGGGCTTGTTTGCCATGCGATGAAGATCCAGAAATGAATGGATCGGACCAACACTCGTGTTTCTTGTCCCTAGTGTGGTCTAACGGTGACCACATCAACATGAGAGGGACTGAGTGACTATCGTTTAAAGGGGGTTATGTAACGAGGTGAGCCTGTTACGTGTAATTAACTTTGCTTGTTAGATAGAATATCATCAATAAGGTTGATAATGTTCGTGAATGTTACTATAAGGGCTAATATTTTAAAGCACTCACCGATTGGCTGATATGGACCATCATATCATCTAGCTTTAGCGGTCCAATCAACTATGGACGTGCGCAATGAGTTGTGGGCAAGTCAATAGCATACGCTTTTGTAGCTAAACATAATTTAGTTAGGACTAAACATAGGTACATGTATTTAGGACTTAATTACATTTAATGCAGTTTTACTTTCTACTCCTATCAAGCGCGTCGTTCATTACATAGCCTTCCTCTGCACGTATAGTACGTAAAGTGACGCGCGGCGCTACCTACGCTGATGTCGGTATAAGTGCACTAGTACTGAAACAGTACTAGTGACCAGTGCACCGTTACATATGGACAAGCTGTAAGAAACTATCGTGTTTGACAGGTTTCAAGGTTCAATTGCTATACCATGGAACGGTGTCACCTGATTGGTTGATTACCGTGCGACGTGACATGTGGGACCACGACGGGACGATCGACAGATGGGACTGTGAGAGACGGAAGCCATGTGACAGGATGTCACATGGGACAGGAAGAGGCGGACACCATGTGTGGCTTGACATGGTCAAGTTGCAGTTGCCGTTTCTGGTCATACATATCGTAGTGTTGAAGGAGATAGTTCTTAACACTCAATTTATTTTCCTTTTACTTCCTACTTCTACTGCACAAGTGCACCTACGTCTAACACAAGCTTCATCACACTTAGTACGACGTGTAAGGTTCACCTCGCGCTATTCACTGACACAGATAGACAGAAAGTAAGTTGGTTTGAAAGTTTGGTCTTAACCTTGTGCACAGATTTCCTAACAGCTTCACCCTTCAGGCTTACAATCTTTTTTTGTACACGGGAATGAAAGCTTACTGCTATTCGGTTGTCAGCTGTCTAGTACGCAAATGAAAAGCACAGTTTCTATTCAAGTACGTTTATGTGTACTCGGCGTAGCAATTCTCATCAGGCTGTAAACCTAGGTTTAGCTTAACGAACTACTCTTCATTTTTAGAAAAACAGACGACGCTAATGAATGCTTTCGCTCACCTAAGCCGCTGGCCATCGTAAAGCTACCTGAAGCGGCACTGTGACTCGATGAAAATGTTAAGCAATGGTCGGATGGTGACGGCACAGCCGAGCCTAACATCGGAGGCGGAAGAGTCTCAGCGCAAGCAGTATTTGTCGGTGACAATGTCGATGCCATCGTCGATGCGCTGGACGCAGACTCAGCCAAATCGCAGCTTTTCCTGCGCTTCTGTACACATCCAATACATACACGCACACTCGTAGAACCCACGTCGGGAAGCGCAACATCCATCTTGGGACAGCATTCAAAGCAGCATATTTCACCACAAAGACGACAGTGATGACGACGACGTGATAACCCGAACTTTGCGTCGCAAATGCGGCATCCCAATCGGTCGCGATTGTGCACCCAATGTGGTGCATGTACAAGCAACGACTGCGACAAACGCCGCTTGGTCAGCACCTCTTCCAGGCGCGCGATTTTAGCGCACAGTTGTCGCAGCTTCGCTCGCCGAGACAGCATAGGTAGCTGTGCTTTCTCCAAAATGGAAGCCACAAACTGAACTTCTACGTATCCGTCACGGTGACGCGCCTGGCGTACCATGAAGCCGGTTGGCTGAAGATCCGTAGGTTTGGAGCCTACCTCGTCCAACCATGCTTGACAGTGAGGGCTGTAGCTTGACTGCAGCGTACGCACGTACATTGGTGATGGATCTGCATTCTCATCCCAGTCGTTCACCAGAATACACTCATAATCCAACAGGCAGTAGGTTGTCCGCGACGCGAACATTCGACTTGACTTCTCGCCGACGACCCACTTGATACTAAGATTTCCCTGGTGCCCCGAGTTCGCCATTTCAGCACGATAATCGTCCATGTAAGAAGGAGACAGATATGGTCCCGAGTTCGCTGGTGTGACTGGTCGATCATCCTCTAGTGAGTCACCATTTTGAGTGCCTCGGGCACGTCCAGAGGTAAAATTTCGACTGGATATACGGGTGATTGGCTGCAAATCGTCGTCCAGGTCCGCATCTGTTTCCGAGTATGACGAGTCGCTGTCGCAATCTTGTATGCATGTCTGCGATGCCATTCGCTGCGACACGCCGTCGCCACCGTTGTTGCTTCTACCGTTGCTGTTGTTATTATTGCTGCGTCGAAGCGGCTTCTTCTTTCGGCGGTAAACGAAAGCCGACGAGCTCGTGCGAACTCCTACAAGGTGCTTCATGGGCGGCTCCATATCGTCTCTATCCGAACGTACGAGGAAATCTACCGCTTCCTCTATCGACGACGGCAAAAGTGCGACGCATTTTACAAGGTATTGTTGCAGCACTTTCGATGCAAATCCATTGTCAAGCCCCGCGGCACTAGAGGCAGCATCCCAGTCCGACGCATCGCTTTCCAGTGCGCCACTTCCATTGACACCAGTACCTCCATTGACATGTGATGCCGCTAAGTCTGCGCTACCCGTCGCCAAATCGTCGCCTCCTTCACCTCCATTGGCAAGTGAGTTCATGATACTCCACAATAGCGCGTTCGTGCCGATGGGGCATACGCGCTCCATAACTCGGACTTTAATCGCGCCCCCTGTCCCTGGCGTCTCGGTGGACGATGCGGCCGAAGCTGCTGCACCGGCGCTGGCACTTACGGGGCTCCAGTTCACCGAGTCCCGTAATCCAAATCCGAAGAGACTGAGTGATGCCCGCGCTTGCGATTCCAGATCCTCTTCGACAGCGCGGGAGAGCGTGGCACTTGTGAGTGGCGCTGGCTGGAGCGATAGCACGCCGGACATGCTCTGCATGCTACTGGTGGGCTTCAATAGCCGCGTGTTATTCCTGGTCGCCATGACAAGTGAGTCTCGAAGATCTCGATCGAGAGCTCGCTCAGATATGAAGTCGGAGAGTGCCGACGTTAGGAGGGATTCGTCGCCGCCACGACAAGAGAGAAACAACTGTTTGCAAGTTGAGAGCTGCGCCTCCGCCTCTCGATTGCAAAGACAGGCTACGTTTCGAATAGGCAATAATTGTGCTGACTTTCAAGGACCTTTTACTACAGCCTGCTTCGAGCTCTTAGACGCCTTCACTTTACTCTCAAGTAGAGCTGACGAAGCGGCTCACGTCCAAAACCGACTTTGCACCAACTCCAGCAGACGTTCTGACGACCCGGTAGTAACTCTTGGCTGACTAAGTTGTACTAACGCAAACTTCTATTTTAATGCATACGACCGGTTTAGTGAACTCAAATGTTTTTGTCCAATTTTCAAGCAAGTAAAAATACATGTAAGATCAGGTAAAAAAAAATAGTTCTGCATGAAAACGCTTTCATTCGATAATTTATGACCGTTATTGAGTGGATGTAGACCCCTCAAAACGCAGCTGACTTTCGCTGCCGCTGACCTGCATACGTCACAAAAACTGGTGATGCACCGCACACAACGCACCGGTGAACGGCTGGTCTCTTTCATCAATCGTACCCGCAAATGATGGAGGGTGTCGAATTTGTTTAACAAGGGGGGGCAGGAAGAGCAGCTCAGAGAGCAAAAAGGCTTATTTGCCATCAAACAGTGGTATCGAAGGTGCTAACACTTCCAGTGAAGGAGAGAACAGGGCAAGAAAAGAAGAGGAAGACTATTGACGTTGCTGGAAGGCTCCTGACACGCGATGACTTGCGACAGATCGCCGCAATTCCCACAACGCGCAGAAGTGTTGACTGTTTTGAGCAGCAAGTGTGTAAGTGGGTTGCATAACATCTCTATCACATGATAACCTTTCTTTATTAATACATTTCTATTTTGTCGCAACTCCGATTTCCAGTGGCAAGGGGGTAGGGTACGATATGCATTTGTGAAGAAATGTTCACCCGACCTTTCAAGCATACAAATAATAAGACTAAATAGTGCCCTAAGCTAAAAATAAAAAATTACGATTTATGTCTTTTAGGAATGTGTGTGAGCAGGGTTTTTGCTTGAAAATTCGAATAAATCTGTCAAGAAAGCCCTATTTCTGCTGATTCGAGTCATACCATTTCCTTTTCTGATCAGCTAAAATGCAAAGCTGCAAGGATTGATCTCCTTAATTTAAAAAGCTGCACCAAACTGAAACTTTACGCTAGAATAGTACAGCCGAGCGACTATCGATGTAAAAAGCACGGTCGGACAAACGATCTTTTGCATTTGGCGCAAACATTACAATCCTAAATGCGCGATAGGTTAATTTAACTCAAGGCGCTTCCATGAAAAAGAGGTCTGAAGCACCTCCGTCACCAAAATTCGCGCCGTTCCAGACACTGTTTCTGCTATTTTTCTGCACCGATTCTCCTAAAGTAGAGCTGGTCTCGTCGTGACCAATAAAGCCTTCCATTTCAAGCACAATCATGCTGGAGAAAGTTGTTGGCGATAGATCGTTTGGATTATTCACATGACATGACAATGGCCTTGTCGATCCCATGCTGGACGACGTTTGCAACAAGCCTCTGCTATCCGTCCCTCCACTAAAGGTTTCGTCCACGCTCAAAGAAGAAGTTTTGGCGCGAGATGCTGATAACGAGACCTGTTGCGGCTGAGGTTGTTGCTGTCGTGCTGGCGGCTGCATCTCAAGTGTTGCGGCGGCGGCTGACGAGGTTGGCGGGACTGCTGCAAAGTGGGTAAGGACTCTACGGGCTGCTGCTGGCTTATCTGAGGTTGCTGTGCTCGCTGGGTCTGCGGACCCAGTCGACGTGGGTTTTGCTAAGCATTCGGCCGTTGGATCGGCAGATTCGGTGCACTATTCTGCTCAGTGGACAGCTAAGTTTGGGTCGACTGGACGGACTCCCGGAAATGGTTCGACTGAGTCAGACTATTCTGCTGCTGTAGAGTGTGCTTGTAACGGGGCACCCTGAAGCTTGTACTGGTGACAGTACAAGCTACTTATTCTGATAACAGAATAAGGCGGTGCCTCGTAACTTCACGTACACTCGTACGTGCAGAGGAAGACGGTAAGAAGAAGCGAGTACTTGGTTAAAGTAAAAAGTAGAACTGTATTTATAATAGTTAATGTCTGCAATAAATCACTATTTATCTTCATCTAACTATGTCTAAATACAAATGTGTAAATCAGTTATCTGCTCACCACTCATTGCGTGCGTCTGTCGTGGCGCGTCTTCGTTGGTTGATATAATGGCCTATATCAACCAATTAGGAACTACTTGGAAGTGCTACAGAATATTGTCCTTATGACAATATTCTGAGAATATAACTCTTATAGTTATATTCTATTAACAATTTCTTATAAATTGTTATGTAACGATTCACCCCGTTACATCACCCCCCTAACCATCAGTCACTTTAGTGACTGATTGACTAAATGGATACTCGTCCCAAATCATTTGGGACGGGGTTTGCACTTGTTGGTCCGCGTCCACTTTCCAACATCTCATCGCATGGTAAACAAGCCCATGCGATGCGCGAGCAAGGCCGCCGAGAGCGCGTCTGCACGTCTCTGTGCGGACGCCGAAGCAGAAACTACAGCAACTGATGTCCCATCGGTTGCTGAATCGACCCAGCCTGTATCACCTGGTGATGCAGGCGCTGGTCATGAAGACACTCATGTCTTCACAGAGTACGAGCTCGGTGTCTCGTACTCTCCTGATACGGATGACGGATCCGTATCGACGGCAATTGAATCCAAGCCGCCTGCCAAGCGTGGCATGGAAGATGCTTTGCGTCGCAGCATCTTTGGTTCATCTGATGAGTCAGATGAACCATCGCCGAAGCGAAGGCGCTCGAGGTCGCGAGACTCGGGCGCTAATAGTGGTGTCGTTTCTCCAATGGACACCACTTCACAGCGAGGTGCCAGTACTTCTGTCGGCACGTCGCAGGAAGAGCGGGACCGCAATGTGTTGCGTCTCGCTCCTGAGAAGAAGGCATGGATGCCTCCTAAATCTGTCATGGATCACTTGTCGGCGACGACGAGTGATCGTTATCGAACACGATTGTTCGATTCGTCGAGGATTCATCACCTTGACCCCAGCGCGAAAGACTATCGCGCTGAACATGAGTTCTTCATCGATGCTTTCTTCAGACATCGATGGTACAGTGGGAATCACAAACGTGATGGTCCCTCACTACTTCAGGCGTGGAACGCCTACATCCATAATCTCGAGGATGTAGGTCGTGACGCTTGGAACGACAAACTTATCAAAGCTCGTGATAAGTTTGAAAAGCGAACCCCGACAGGTGCACGCTATAAGCTGCATCGTCTGTCAAGGGAGAAAGGATTACCCTGCCTCTCTTGGGGAGACTCGTGCCCATGTTGTGTGAACAACTCTGCACGAGCACCTAAGGAGGCTTACCTCCTTACCAGCCCGTGGTGGCGCGTACGTGTCTCTACTGAGATGTACGAAGGGATTGACAACCTGAAATCCCTTTACGACCGTGCCGGGAAGACTTTCTCCGGCGGTCCTTCTGCGGCACAGGATGTGTCGCGTCGTACTGCTCGACCAGACCCAGTACGTCAACCATCAATTGGGAGCGGAGCTCCCAAGAATCCCAGGACGGGGGATAGCCGCGCCACCGGACGAGGTAACTCGTCCGACGTCCGTTCACGTCGCGGTGGTTCAACAGCTGCTCTACTAGATAGCGCTGGCCACCGCGAGAGTCCTCTAATGGAGGTGGAGGAGGAGGAAAGACGCTCTCCACACGATCATGTGGATCGGTGTGTTCCCGAGAGCTTCTTTGATCGCGTAACGCAAGGGTTACGCGACGATCTCGAGCATGAGCGGAATAGGCGTCTCCAGATGGTGGACACTGCCTCGAAGCATCGAGCTGAGTTTGCCTTTGCTCAGCTTGAGAACGAGAGATCTCTGACATCTCTTCGTGACGAGCTAAGGGTAGCTCGTGGGATTGTTGATCGGTCTCGGGCTGAGATAACTGCTCTTCAGACCCTTGTTGATGCCCACCATCGGGAGCACAAGGCTCTCTGCGAGATGCTTGAGCGCAAGGGCGTTCTTCATCGGAAGAAGCAGCGTACTGATGGTACGGCTTAAGCCGACCAACGTAAAACGTGGGATGCGTTCGCATCTTACGTGGTAACTCGATCGTGTATGCATTGCCTAGGCGGTGCAATACACGAAATGGGCCAATGTACTTGGGTAGTAGTTTACTGCTACCCAAGTTAGTCACTACATGTTTTGGTAGATTAACCGTAGACAGTAGGACTAAGTCACCTTTATTAAATAAAAGAGTGTTTGCCCTTCCATTCTTGTCAGCGTTTTGCTTTTGCTTATCCACCGCTTCGGCGATGGAGTCTTGCACAAAACGGACTACCGTTTCACGAGCCAGTATGAACTCATCTGATGACTCGTTAGCTTCAGTGTGCTGTGAGCGCACTGCAGCGACAACAACCTTTTCTTCAGTGAGGGCTTCCGCACTCTCACTGGGATCATTGTCTTCAGTGAGGGCTTCCGCACTCTCACTGGCATCATCTTCTTCGATATTGATGTTATCGATATCGGCATCAAACGCAATGACTTCTTCGTCAGAGCGTGATGAGCGTGAACCAAATCGGTTTTTGCTCGCGCGAGTCCCTCCCCCCTTAAACCAGAGTTACACTCTAGTAAGGTGGGTACACGCGGATGGCGCAAGCCATTCACGTAAAACGGTGTATGTGTCGTGGACGCATGCACCGAGTTGTTGATGGCAAACTCTACCATCGGCAAAAACTCACTCCAACTCTTAAAGGAGTGTACGTATCCTCGAAGTGTCTCTTCAAGGACACGATTGGCACGTTCCGTCTGACCATCTGACTCTGGATGATCAGATGTTGACATCTTCAAGCGCGTTCCGAGTGATTTGAACACGGAACGCCAGAAATCAGCAGTGAATCGTGGATCTCTGTCTGATACGAGTTCACGGGGCAACCCATGAAGTCGGAAGATGGTGTCAATAAAGACACAAGCACAGCCACTTGCCGTGATTGTCTCTGGTACAGCCACAAGGTGTACCATTTTGCTGAGTCTGTCAACAAATACGAGAATACCCGTATTCCCGCGTGCGTCTTTGGGTAACCCGAAGACGAAATCCATTGAGATGGATTCCCAGCACTCAGCCGGAACCGGTAGAGGCTGTAAAGGTGCACGCAGCGAAGGACTTGACTTCACTCGTTGGCAGACTTCGCATGCGCGAACATACTTTCGCACAAACTGATACTGGCGGGGCCAGTAAAAGTCTCGACTCACCGTGAGATATGTTTTCTCTCGGCCACGATGTCCTCCTATAGGAGCATCGTGATACTCGAACATGATCCGCAAACGCAGATCAATATCATCTGGAATGAAAACACGTGGTGTGTCACCAGAAACGGCTGTATAGTACAGTAAACCGTTACGAGTAGTGTATCGATCTGATGCAGATCGATACGCAGACGACAATCGTTTCAACGATTCTCGAGATGGTTGGGAGAGATGTGACAACAACTTCACTATCTCACCATCTTGGGCGTATGCCCGCCTCACATCATCATACAACGTTGTAGATGGAACTGAGGACGTCATAACCGCAACAGTGACTGTCTCACTGTTGGGTTTCGCGACTGTTTCAAAGTCGGGACGACGTGAGAGTGCATCAGCGACGACATTAAGTCGTCCTGGTTTGTACTCGACCGTAAAGTTGTATTCTGCAAAGAATGACAACCACCGCGCCATTCGTTGTGAAAGGTGCGGGCTGTTCACTGCCGTGCGTAAGGACGCATGGTCAGTGTAAACAACGAAGGGTCTATCTCCTAATAGATAGACTCTGAACTTCGCGAGTGCATACTTCATGGCAAGGAGTTCCTTGTCATGCACTGGATAGTTCCGCTCAGCTGGTTGCAGCTGACGCGACTGATAGCAGACGACGCGTTCAACGCCTTCAAGGTCGTACTGCATTAATGCACAGCCGATTGCGAAAGAGCTGGCATCACAGACCACATGAAATGGCCTGTCCTGATCGGCTATTGCTAGGACTGGGGATTGTATCAAGCTCTGCTTGATACCCTCAAAGGAGCGTTGACATTCAGCGTTCCATAACCACCTCTCGTTCCTTTTCAACAAACGAGAGAGGTGTACAGTCATCTCGGCGTAATTGCGTGAATACTTATGCAAATACGCCGCTAGCCCAAGGAATTTTCGAAGACCTTTGACATCGACCGGCACGGGCCAGTCGGTGATCGCCTTGATCTTTTCGGGATCAGGACGTACACCGTTCTTACCAACGATGCACCCAAGAAGTGGTATTTCGCTTGCTGCAAATATACACTTCTTGAGGTTTGCATACAATTGATGCTTTCGCATGATTGTAAGAACTTGTCGGACGTGGTACTTGTGAACCTCAACGCCCGACTTTCCATCCATAGCTCGACTATGGATGAATACGTCATCGAAATAACTCGGCGCGAATTCTCTTACTGGCCTCAACAGATGTGATACACACCTGTTGAACGTGGCAGGGGCATTACTGAGCCCTTGTGGCATTACTAGCCATTCCCAGAGCATGCCGCTAGGCGTGCTAACTGCGGTATAGGGTATATCCCGTTCCCGCATTAGGATTTGATAGAAGCCATCCATCAAATCCATGGACGAAAAGATGGTACTCTTTGACATACCATCAATGATTACGTCCTTCCTCGGTATCGGCGTCTGAGCCGGTACCGTTGCAGCGTTCAATTTGTTAAACGCGTGCACTATCCGCCACCCTCCTGTTGCTTTTCGCACACAGAAGGTCGGAGAGCTATGTGGGGAAGTTGATTCCCTCACATGGCCCGCTGCTAAACGATCGGCAAAGAACTTGTCGATCGCAAGTACTTGTTCACGAGGCAGTGGCCACTGCTTCATGACACAGTACTTCGAGCCTGGTTTAAGCTCGACTTCGTGTCGAATACCTTTATCCTTCGGTAATTCGCACGGAACAGTTTCAGGGAATACATCCTTGAATTCAACCAAATCTTCATAGAGAGGATTTTCCTTGAGCGATTCCCATGATTGGGACTCATATCGCTCAATTCGTGTCTTTTCATCTAGGGCACTCTCGTCCATAGATGAACTACTGAGAACTCTCTCGTTCTCAGTAAACACTGTTGCTGACCTTATGTCGGTTACATACTCGTCTTCAGCGACGAGTATGCAGATCTGCTTGACTTTGCCACTACGCAGATCACGCAAGAATCTTTTTATGTTCGAGCGTTGGCAACTGAGTGATCTCCGAAGTTAACTTCGGAGGCGCAATCAGATCAAGTGTATAAGCGCCTACACATGATCCGTTATTGACTATGACATTCAATGTCTCTGTCATTTCCTGGGGACTTATTCCCTCAGGCTTCGAAGGACTTATTCCTTCGTCTTCCCGGGGACTTATTCCCGCGGGTTTCGGGGAACTTATTTCCGCCGTATTTGTAATCTTGGGACTTATTCCCTTTACTTCCTCTAGCTGGGGTTGCGCAACCACAGCGAGATCCTCTACGAAAGACTCTCCAGTCGATCTAGGATTATCGTTTCGCTTAACCTGAGCGATCGATTGTTTCTCTTCTAGATGTTCCCCTCTAGGGATACATCTTTGTCCCAGTCCACTCGACTTATTCGAGTGGTGGACCTTCGGCGCAGCCTGTGTTTCCTCACAGCCGCCGGAACTTTGCTCCGAAGTGTAACCGTTTGGTACACTAAGGTTTTGTGCAGTCGTACTAACGACCGTACCACAAGTGAGGCCATCGCACTCACTCGTAGTACATCCACACGCTTGTGGACGCTCCAAAACGTTCATCAGATGGCCATCTGATGAACAAGCGGCAGGCATCGTTACTGTCCGATGTTGCCAGTTTACCCGTGGTTCGTACCTTCTGAGCCACGGTATTCCAAGGATGACATCAAATTTGTCATCCAAATCCAATACGATAAAGTCATCGTCGTATTGGGTATCTTCTAGCGTATAGTGAATCTTCACTATACGCTTCATGACGGTTACGGATGCGCCTGTCGCAAGACGTACCGTCATCCTCGTAGGAGGTGTGTCACATTCACTGAATTTAAAGTGACCATCTTCTAGCGATTGGCGTCGCACAAAATTGTTGGACGCCCCACAATCGACTAGAGCTCGAAGGGACAACTTATTCGTCACTTCGAGTTTCAAGGTAATGAGTGAGATCTCATTACCTAGAGCAGCAACGCACAATGTCTGTGTGTTGGGAGCAACCTTCATCAAGAGGCCTACAAATTCTCTTGACGTTGCTGGATCAGTAGGGTGCTCCGCACCTACTGATCCTGTCCGTTTTTTGACGGTCCATCCCGTTGTTGCGTCTTTGCACCAACTGCGGACCCTCGTCCCTGCCCCTTTCTCATGGGTGGACGGTCACTACGCCCAGTGTCGCGAGACACTGGACGAGGGGCACTACACTCGTAAGCGTAGTGTCCTGTCTTTTGACATCTGTTGCATCTCTGCAACTTCTTGTAGCCTGTAGAGCGAGCCTTCTCGCTCTCTACATAACAGAGTTTCATCGGCTCTGGACCTCCGTTGTCATATCGTCTCGGTTGACGATATGATGTCGAGCTGGCGCGAGCCTGTCTCAGACTGAAGTCTTCCTGCTCCGCAATGGAAATGGCTTGTTCTAGTGAATCTAGTTCAAGCCGGAACAGGTGAGTCTTGACGGGACCATCCGCAAGACCCTGCATGAACACCGAAACCAACGTGTGTTCATCCACCGGATTGGAACTTATACAACTCGTGAGATGTCGTATATGTTGAGCGTAAGCGTGCACATCACGCTTACCCTGCTTGAGCTTCAAGAGTTCGGTTCGAGCTCTGAACTCAGCTCTAGGCGGTTCAAACGTTTGTCTGAGCCGCGACTTGAAGACTTCCAACGACCCAAACGCGTATGGGTCGTGCAGCTTGAGCCCCAGTGCCCAAGTCTTGGCACGTCCTGCCAGATTTGACTGGGCAAATGCAACTTGCATATCCCCGTCGTCGATGCGACGCGCCCTTATGGCGTCATCCAATTCGACGAACCATCTCAAGAGGGAGTCTTCTTCGACCCCCTATACTTTGAGATGTCAATCTTCAAAGTCTCGGGCCGACGCGAGTGCATCGACCCGCCAGCAGCAGCCTGCTGCTGTCTCAACAGTTCAAACTGTTGAGCACCTTGTTCTCTCAACAACTCTGCTTGTTGAGAACCTTGTTGGTGAAGCAAGGCTACTTTCTCGCGTTCTGCGTCAAGTTCATTTTGAATGAACTTGGCGATAGTAGCATGTTGGGCATCTCTATTGAGAGCCTCTAGCATGACGCTAACAGCATGGATGCCCATGGTCGAACCCATTCGTTCAACCGCATCCCATTCGACATCGCTCAAATGGGAGTAGCCGTCACGCGTAGCGTGAAAGCTTTGGTCATCTTCATCATCCAACATATTCATGTTGGATGTGAACGCGGTCCTTGGACGGACTACGAAGTGCTACCAGGTGTAACGGGGCACCCTGAAGCTTGTACTGGTGACAGTACAAGCTACTTATTCTGATAACAGAATAAGGCGGTGCCTCGTAACTTCACGTACACTCGTACGTGCAGAGGAAGACGGTAAGAAGAAGCGAGTACTTGGTTAAAGTAAAAAGTAGAACTGTATTTATAATAGTTAATGTCTGCAATAAATCACTATTTATCTTCATCTAACTATGTCTAAATACAAATGTGTAAATCAGTTATCTGCTCACCACTCATTGCGTGCGTCTGTCGTGGCGCGTCTTCGTTGGTTGATATAATGGCCTATATCAACCAATTAGGAACTACTTGGAAGTGCTACAGAATATTGTCCTTATGACAATATTCTGAGAATATAACTCTTATAGTTATATTCTATTAACAATTTCTTATAAATTGTTATGTAACGATTCACCCCGTTACAGTGCTGCTGTTGCATTAACTGCTGCTGGCAACGTACTTACGCTTGAATTCTGTGTTGATGCTGCTACTGTGCACGCTGCTGCATGAGATGCTGCTGTTGCTGCTGTTGCTTCTGCTGCAGCGACAAATTTTGATACAGCTGACTCTGACTTTGCTGCTGGTGGTGGGCTATGTGCATCACGCTGTTCGGGACACTTGACGTTTCACACGATGCTGTAGCATCATCGAAACTTCCACAGGCGCCAGACGTCGAATTTGTCACCGGTGAGAGGTCGGTGCCAGCAGACCTATCACCGCTGGCGCTGGGGGTGAAGCTGCGTTTATCAGTCTCCGTACGCAGCTTCTTCAAATACGGGTTTACTATCTTCACGATGTATTTATAACCTTGTCCAGCTCCTCAATTTTGCGCGGTGCATGTGTCGTCTTGACTTCATTGAACATACTTGTACACATTTGCACATAGCTGAGAAGATGACGTAGCTTCTTCTTCTGGTCAGACTCGTCGTGCCCTCTCATGTGATCCACATATTTTTATACGCATTGTGTACCTTTTCCACATCACCATGGTACTTCGACTCAAGTGCTGCGTGCTGCCGCCAGTACTCCGCAGGGATATTGCTGGGAATTGGAGCCGCAGGCTTTACCGCCCTCGGTGTGGCGTCCGCTCCAATGCGTGCCACCGATGTCGTGGCTTTGCCACCAGCACCCAGTGACATTGCTTTAACAGGCTGAGACTGCTGGGCACCAGGGTAAGTAGCCAGTCAACTAAACATTGTATGTCCCAAGGAGACTCCAACCTGGCTTCCGTGTGCGGTAGAGGTGAGACTCGAGTTTTAGGTCCAGGTTAAACGTATTGCCGTAGGAGATGTCCAGCCCTGAGAGTATCCCCTGGATAGATATTGTCTGTGCTGCAATGACCGCATCCATATCCGTCTGCTGCGCGCGCAGCGACTTGAGACGAGTGAAAAGATTGTTACTGTACTCTCCCGAGTGCGCAAAATCTTGTAAAGTGTCAACTTGTACCAAGACACGTTGATCCAGAGCTTAATGCCGGGCAAGGGGTCTGCAGATACGCGCACCACTGGCTTTCCAATTCAATACAACATCAAGAACTCAGCTAACTATCGATCGCACACAAAGATACGTATGTGGCCGTACATAATGGCCATGAGATTCATTCGGTGCTCGCGTGTGAACTGGATCCGCCAGTCGACAGCGCACGTACTCTGCGCTCCCGCTGGTCGTATTTCCGCGGCCGCCTGCAGTGGCGCGGATGGTTCCAAGCCTTCATAATTCATCCTTATGGCCATAGAAGCGACATTCATGGGATGTGCGGAGTCCACGTTCACCATCACTTGCAGTTGCTGCTGCTGTCGGGGGACGCCGTAGACGTTCGTGACAGTGATGCCCAAGGCCATTGCTTGCGAGTTGCTGCCATGCAGTACGACCATAACCATTGGCATCGGTATCGACAACGAGCCACTGTCATGTTTAGCGCGTTTGTGGCGTGCGGGTCGATCACCCGACGGCAGAGATTAGGGCTGCGTCGATGATCGCGGGTTGCTGTCACGCGGTGTGGAGTGACGAATGACGGTCACGAACACGGATGGTTTAAACCAATCAAAGGCAAAATATTTATAACTAGTTTTAAACGAAATCAGTAAAAGAATAAACACGAGATGTGGTGGACAATATTTCTTGCAGGTTGTATGAATACTGTGTGATGGCGACTTGTATACACTGCACGAGCTACACTATAGGATCAGAGGATCAACAAACGATAAGAGCTCGCCGTGACATCTTTTGTGTGAGCATCCGTTACTTATTTAAACAGCTTGACACAAGTGTCATCTGTGTCTAAGCATGAAAAGTGCATCAGCTGTTGGACTATACGGGTGACACCCCTCCTCACGTCGTCGAATTCTGAACGGTCGTCCGGCCGCTGCTGTTGGCGGGCGCTCAAAGACTTAGTTGGAAAAGTCCGGCAAAGAGACGGACCGTCATGGTGGTTTCCATACAAGCGTTGATGTCAATGCTAGTTGGCATGGCAGCAGCATTCGTATCGGCCAAAAACCCAGCGGACCCGATCCTGTCTGCAATTGTAAGTGTGAAGAATCTGGATGCCGTGTTTTACGCGTCCAGCGCTACGGACGAGGAATGGGGAGCGTCGCTAGAAGCCCAGAAGTTGAAAAACGGCGAGAGGCACGCTTCTTACCCACTCGTGTACAGCGCAACGGCACTGGGCGACGAATACGGCTGCACGTCTAAGGAGAAGCTGTTTGCTGTCAACAGGAGCGGAAACACCTCCACTTCTTCTAGTTTATCGACCTCAACGAGCGCCATGCTGCCCGACGAGCCTTTTGTATTGTTGGTAGATCGAGGCGGCTGTACTTTTACGGAGAAGGCATTGCACGCTCAAGAGCTGGGGGCTACTGTGCTTATTGTCACGGACACTCTCAAAGAGCTCTACAACCGCTTGAATGTTGTCGGCATCAGTGAGGAAGGGAGGCAACTGGAATACAGCTGTTCACGCGGCTCAGGTAAAGTGAAGTCGGATGCAGAAATGAATGACTTCGCGTCTGCCTTATGGAGAGGCGACGCGGGTGTCCGCTCTTGTGCCGACAGCAGCAAGTGCTCGTCACATATGTGTGTACCTTCAGGTGGCGCGAATAAGCAGGTTTGCTGCGTCTGGGATATTCCTGATATCATGGGCTTCGGCACTTCAGATATCGTAGCAGGAAAGAGCGCAGTACGTGACATTGTTGTGGTGCGACTTTCGATCGCCGACGGCGACTTGCTAAAGAAGATGCTGACACTCAGTAATGAGGACAAGAATGACCGGTTGCTGATATCGGTATACGAGCGGGACTCGCCCCTAATCGACCCTGCTCAGGTTATTATGTGCATACTTGCTTGCGCGACAGTGCTTATTGGCTCGTATCAAGGTGCAGCCTACGAACGCAGGAGGGCACAGCTTAAAGCAGCGCTTATCGCTGCAGATGTCACGTCTTCTGACGCGATTGCTCAAGCTCGGGTTGCATTTGAGGAGCACGACGAGGAAGTGCCAACGAAAGAGCAGCTTGATCTGAGCTTTCGGCATGCACTGGTGTTTTTGGTGCTTGGATCGGGACTTCTTTTTTTGCTGTTTATCATTAATGCCGTTATTGTGGTGGTTGTATTGTTCGGCATTGGGGCTGTGTTCGTCACGTTTCAGGCTATCTGGGAGCCCCTTATGCGGCGCCTCCCGATTCGACATTTGCACAGCTTACCGTGGCGTGATGTTGAATGGCAGTGGGAAGACGTGTTGGTGCCCGCGGCGTGGAGCATCAATAATTTACTTGCGCTGACGATGTCGTTCGGAATCGCGCTCTTCTGGTTTTTCACGCGCTTCCAGTCGTATTCGTGGGTTCTCCAAGATGTTTTTGCTGTATGCTTTTGCCTCATCTTCTTACGTACAGCACGAGTAGCCAACTTGAAGGTGGCTACGGTTCTACTCGTACTCGTGTTCGTCTACGACGTCTTCACGGTGATTGTTTCTCCATATGTTTTTGACAAGAACGTTATGATGAAGGTGGCCACCGGAGGAGCGCAGGGTGCTGCCGATGGTGGTCCACTTAGCGGTTACTGCCTGCGCTATCCGATCGACACAAAACACGACTGTCGCTCCGAATCGATGCCGATCCTACTTCGAGTTCCCAAGATGCTGGATTGGAGGGCAGGTTTTTCACTATTAGGTCTGGGTGACATTGTACTACCTGGTTTGCTGCTAGTATTTGGTGCTCGTTATGACTATGCTACTCGGGGTCAGCTTTTTGGACGTCCCGTACCTCTTTACGGCAAGATGTTTGACCAACGCAACGGCGTGTCAGCGGCAACAACTGGGATGGATTGGGATCTTGATGTGTCTGGAGAGGAGCTTGGGAGTGCTAAGAAGCATTATTTGTCCCGCCGCGGACTATTCTGCATACTCATGTGGGGTTACGCGGCCGGTATATTATTGGCAAATGTCGGCGTTGCCATCACAAGCAGTGACCACCCAGCGCTGTTGTATTTGGTGCCATGCACACTCGGTCTGTTGGCAGTTGTGTCGTGGCGCCGTGGAATTTTAAAAAAGCTTTGGGAGGGCCCTCCAGAGCTAGTTCCAGGATACGCTCGACGCGAGAGGTTCGACAACTTTGCCGGTAGTCTAAATATTGACGACGCTACGCAGCTACGAGTGCCAGGCATCGGGTTCGCCAAACCGAAGATTCACGATGAGGCCTTACTACAGCAGCATGAAGGTGCCGCGGACTCACCTGTTTCTGGTGTGTCGTACGAAATGAGTAATGACACTCCGACTGGCTACGCTCCTATGATGCCCATCTGCGCTGCGGCAAATTTAGATAGCAAGTAGCATCCATGCCTCGCGTAGGCAAGCTGCAATACGTGCATGTTGGTAGATAGACTTGAAACGTGTTTCCGTTATTTTAGGTTCTTGCAATCAAGGTGGATCTGTGTGCACACGGCATTCTTCCAGAGGTATATGTCGGGGGCTGTCCCACCCACAGACTAAAACCATTAGCGGGGTGGCCAGAGCCCACCCACGCCCACCTTGATTCGTTTACCCGAATGGTCACCAGATTTCCATTTACAAATAAGGCTCTTGCACAATAACGTATATTCTTATCAAATTATGGTACTAGATCAAATTTCGGCTCGCGAAGTTGAGCCCACCCACGCCGACCCGCGCCCATCCACACCAACCCATGCCCACTTACCATTCGCCATTTGCTCCCATGACCATAATTTTTTTTTGAGATTCAAAATTTTAACTGGGCACAAACCACCTCAAAGGAAACCCCTCCCACTTTTCGTGGCACCAACCCCCTATAATAAATCCCCCAATTATTTGTCCGATGGCCTGAATCCTTTGGTCAGCCATTAATGTAACGGGGTGAATCGTTACATAACAATTTCTGATAAATTGTTATGTAACGATTCACCCCGTTACATCACCCCCCCTTAACCATCAGTCACTTTAGTGACTGATTGACTAAATGGATACTCGTCCCAAATCATTTGGGACAGGGTTTGCACTTGTTGGTCCGCGTCCACTTTCCAACATTTCATCGCATGGTAAACAAGCCCATGCGATGCGAGAGCAAGGCAGCCGAGAGCGCGTCTGCACGTCTCTGTGCGGACGCCGAAGCAGAAACAACAGCAACTGATGTCTCATCGGTTGCTGAAGCGACCCAGCCTGTGTCACTTGGTGATGCAGGCGCTGGTCATGAAGACACTCATGTCTTCACAGAGTACGAGCTCGGTGTCTCATACTCTCCCGATACGGAAGACGGATCCGTATCGACGACGATCGAATCCAAGCCGCCTGCCAAGCGTGGCATGGATGATGCTTTGCGTCGTAGCATCTTTGGTTCATCTGATGAATCAGATGAACCATCGCCGAAGCGTAGGCGCTCGAGGTCGCGAGACTCGGGCGCTAACAGTGGTGTCGGTTCTCCTATGGACACCACTTCGCAACGAGGTGCCAGTACTTCTGTCGGCACGTCGCAGGAAGAGCGGGACCGCAATGTGTTGCGTCTCGCTCCTGAGAAGAAGGCATGGATGCCTCCAAAATCTGTCATGGATCACTTGTCGGCGACGACGAGTGATCATTTTCGAACACGATCATTCCATTCGTCAAGGATCCATCACCTTGACCCCAGCGCGAAAAACTATCGCGCTGTACATGAATTCTTCATCGATGCTTTCTTTAGACATCGATGGTACAGTGGGAATCACAAGCGTGATGGTCCCTCACTGCTTCAGGCGTGGAACGCCTACATCCATAACCTTGAGGATGTAGGTCGTGACGCTTGGAACGACAAACTTATCAAAGCTCGTGATAAGTTTGAAAAGCGAACCCCGACAGGTGCACGCTACAAGCTGCATCGTCTGTCAAGGGAGAAAGGATTACCCTGCCTCTCTTGGGGAGACTCGTGTCCGTGTTGTGTGAACAACTCTGCACGAGCACCTAAGGAGGCTTACCTCCCTAATAGCCCGTGGTGGCGCGTACGTATCTCTATTGAGATGTACGAAGGGATTGACAACCTGAATTCCCTTTACGACCGTGCCGGGAAGACTTTCTCCGGCGGTCCTTCTGTGGCTCAGGATGTGCCGCGTCATACTGCTCAACCAGACCCAGTACGTCGATCATCAGTCGGGAGCGGGGCTCCCTAGAATCCCAGGACGGGGGATAGCCGCGCCACCGGACGAGATAACTCGTCCGACGTCCGTTCACGTCGCGGTGGTTCAACAGCTGCTCAACTAGATAGCGCTGGCCACCGCGAGAGTCCTCTAATGGAGGTGGAGGAGGAGGAAAGACGCTCTCCACACGATCATGTGGATCGGTGTGTTCCCGAGAGCTTCTTTGATCGCGTAACGCAAGGGTTACGCGACGATCTCGAGCATGAGCGGAATAGGCGTCTCCAGATGGTGGATACTGCCTCGAAGCATCGAGCTGAGTTTGCCTTTGCTCAGCTTGAGAACGAGAGATCTCTGACATCTCTTCGTGACGAGCTAAGGGTAGCTCGTGGGATTGTTGATCGGTCTCGGGCTGAGATAACTGCTCTTCAGACCCTTGTTGATGCCCACCATCGGGAGCACAAGGCTCTCTGCGAGATGCTTGAGCGCAAGGGCGTTCTTCATCGGAAGAAGCAGCGTACTGATGGTACGGCTTAAGCCGACCAACGTAAAACGTGGGATGCGTTCGCATCTTACGTGGTAACTCGATCGTGTATGCATTGCCTAGGCGGTGCAATACACGAAATGGGCCAATGTACTTGGGTAGTAGTTTACTGCTACCCAAGTTAGTCACTACATGTTTTGGTAGATTAACCGTAGACAGTAGGACTAAGTCACCTTTATTAAATAAAAGAGTGTTTGCCCTTCCATTCTTGTCAGCGTTTTGCTTTTGCTTATCCACCGCTTCGGCGATGGAGTCTTGCACAAAACGGACTACCGTTTCACGAGCCAGTATGAACTCATCTGATGACTCGTTAGCTTCAGTGTGCTGTGAGCGCACTGCAGCGACAACAACCTTTTCTTCAGTGAGGGCTTCCGCACTCTCACTGGGATCATTGTCTTCAGTGAGGGCTTCCGCACTCTCACTGGCATCATCTTCTTCGATATCGATGTTATCGATATCGGCATCAAACGCAATGACTTCTTCGTCAGAGCGTGATGAGCGTGAACCAAATCGGTTTTTGCTCGCGCGAGTCCCTCCCCCCCTTAAACCAGAGTTACACTCTAGTAAGGTGGGTACACGCGGATGGCGCAAGCCATTCACGTAAAACGGTGTATGTGTCGTGGACGCATGCACCGAGTTGTTGATGGCAAACTCTACCATTGGCAAAAACTCACTCCAACTTTTAAAGGAGTGTACGTATCCTCGAAGTATCTCTTCGAGGACACGATTGGCACGTTCCGTCTGACCATCTGACTCTGGATGATCAGCTGTAGACATCTTCAAGCGCGTTCCGAGTGATTTGAACACGGAACGCCAGAAATCAGCAGTGAATCGTGGATCTCTGTCTGATACGAGTTCACGGGGCAACCCATGAAGTCGGAAGATGGTGTCAATAAAGACACAAGCACAGCCACTTGCCGTGATTGTCTCTGGTACAGCCACAAGGTGTACCATTTTGCTGAATCTGTCAACAAATACGAGAATACCCGTATTCCCGCGTGCGTCTTTGGGTAACCCGAAGACAAAATCCATTGAGATGGATTCCCAGCACTCAGCCGGAACTGGTAGAGGCTGTAAAGGTGCACGCAGTGAAGGACTTGACTTCACTCGTTGGCAGACTTCGCATGCGCGAACATACTTTCGCATAAACTGATACTGGCGGGGCCAGTAAAAGTCTCGACTCACCGTGAGATATGTTTTCTCCCGGCCACGATGTCCTCCTATAGGAGCATCGTGATACTCGAACATGACCCGCAAACGCAGATCAGTATCATCTGGAATGACAACACGTGGTGTGTCACCATAAACGGCTGTATAATACAGTAAACCTTTACGAGCAGTGTATCGATCTGATGCAGATCGATACGCAGGCGACAATCGTTTCAACGATTCTCGAGATGGTTGGGAGAGATAAGTCAACAACTTCACAATCTCACCATCGTGGGCATACGCCCGCCTCACATCATCATACAACGTTGTAGATGGGACTGAGGACGTCATAACCGCAACAGTGACTGTCTCACTGTTGGGTTTCACGACTGGTTCAAAGTCGGGACGACGTGAGAGTGCATCAGCGACGACATTAAGTCGTCCTGGTTTGTACTCTACCGTAAAGTTGTATTCTGCAAAGAATGACAACCACCGCGCCATTCGTTGTGAAAGGTGCGGGCTGTTCACTGCCGTGCGTAATGACGCATGGTCAGTGTAAACAATGAAGGGTCTATCTCCTAATAGATAGACTCTGAACTTCGCGAGTGCATACTTCATGGCAAGGAATTCCTTGTCATGCACTGGATAGTTCCGCTCAGCTGGTTGCAGCTGACGCGACTGATAGCAGACGACGCGTTCAACGCCTTCAAGATCGTACTGCATTAATGCACAGCCGATTGCAAAATCGCTGGCATCACAGACCACATGAAATGGCCTGTCTTGATCGGCTATTGCTAGGACTGGGGATTGTATCAAGCTCTGCTTGATACCATCAAAGGAGCGCTGACATTCAGCGTTCCATGACCACCTCTCGTTCTTTTTCAACAAACGAGAGAGGTGTACAGTCATCTCGGCGTAATTGCGTGAATACTTATGCAAATACGTCGCTAGCCCAAGGAATTTTCGAAGACCTTTGACATCAACCGGCACAGGCCAGTCGGTGATCGCCTTGATCTTTTCGGGATCAGGACGTACACCGTTTTTACCAACGATGCACCCAAGAAGTGGTATTTCGCTTGCTGCAAATATACACTTCTTGAGGTTAGCATACAATTGATGCTTTCGCATGATTGTAAGAACTTGTCGGACGTGGTACCTGTGAACCTCAACGTCCGACTTTCCATCCATAGCTCGACTATGGATGAATACGTCATCGAAATAACTCGGCGCGAATTCTCGTACTGGTCTCAACAGATGTGATACACATCTGTTGAATGTGGCAGGGGCATTACTAAGCCCTTGTGGCATTACTAGCCATTCCCAGAGCATGCCGCTAGGCGTGCTAACTGCGGTATAGGGTATATCCCGTTCTCGCATAAGGATTTGATAGAAGCCATCCATCAAATCCATGGACGAAAAGATGGTACTCTTTGACATACCATCTATGATGACGTCCTTCCTTGGTATCGGCGTCTGAGCCGGTACCGTTGCAGCATTCAACTTGTTAAATGCATGCACTATCCGCCACCCTCCTGTTGCTTTTCGCACACAGAAGGTCGGAGAGCTATGTGGGGAAGTTGATTCCCTCACATGGCCCGCAGCTAAACGATCGGCAAAGAACTTGTCGATCGCAAGTACTTGTTCACGGGGCAGTGGCCACTGCTTCATGACACAGTACTTCGAGCCTGGTTTAAGCTCGACCTCGTGTCGAATACCTTTATCCTTCGGTAATTCGCACGGAACAGTTTCAGGGAATACATCCTTGAACTCAACCAAATCTTCATAGAGAGGATTTTTCTTGAGCGATTCCCACGATTGGGAGTCATATCGCTCAATTCGTGTCTTTTCATCTAGGACACTCTCGTCCATAGATGAACTACTGAGAACTCTCTCGTTCTCAGTAAACACTGTTGCTGACCTTATGTCGGTTACACACTCGTCGTCAGCGACGAGTACGCAGATCTGCTTGACCATGCCACTACGCAGATCACGCAAGAAACTTTTATGTTCGAGCGTTGGCAACTGAGTGATCTCCGAAGTAAACTTCGGAGGCGCAATCAGATCAAGCGTATAAGCGCCTACACTTGATCCGTTATTGACTCTGACATTCAATGTCTCTGTCATTTCCTGGGGACTTATTCCCTCAGGCTTCGAAGGACTTATTCCTTCGGCTTCCCGGGGACTTATTCCCGCGGGTTTTGGGGAACTTATTTCCGCCGTATTTGTAATCTTGGGACTTATTCCCTTTACTTCCTCTAGCTGGGGGTGCGCAACCACAGCGAGATCCTCTACGAAAGACTCTCCAGTCGATCTAGGATTATCGTTTCGCTTAACCTGAGCGATCGATCGTTTCTCTTCTAGATGTTCCCCGCTAGGGATACATCTTTGTCCCAGTCCACCCGACTTATTCGAGTGGTGGACCTTCGGCGCAGCCTGTGTTTCCTCACAGCCGCCGGGACTTTGCTTTGAAGTGCAACCGTTTGTGACACTAAGGTTTTGTGCAGTCGTACTAAAGACCGTACCACAAGTGAGGCCATCGCACTCACTCGTAGTACATCCACACGCTTGTGGACGCTCCAAGACGTTCATCAGATGGCCATCTGATGAACAAGCGGCAGGCATCGTTACTGTTCAATGTTGCCAGTTTACCCGTGGTTCGTACCTTCTGAGCCACGGTATTCCAAGGATGACATCAAATTTGTCATCCAAATCCAATACGATAAAGTCATCATCGTATTGGGTATCTTCTAGCGTATAGTGGATCTTCACAATACGCTACATGACGGTTACGGATGCGCCTGTCGCAAGACGTACCGTCATCCTCTTAGGAGGTGTGTCACATTCACTGAATATAAAGTGACCATCTTCTAGCGATTGGCGTCGCACAAAATTGTTGGACGCCCCACAATAGACTAGAGCTCGAAGGGACAACTTATTCGTCACTTCGAGTTTCAAGGTAATGAGTGAGACCTCATTACCTAGAGCAGCAAAGCACAACGTTTGTGTGTTGGGAGCAACCTCCATCAAGAGGCCTACAAGTTCTCTTGACGTTGCTGAACCAGTAGGGTGCTCCGCACCTACTGATCCTGTCCGTTTTTTGACGGTCCATCCCGTTGTTGCGTCTTTGCACCAACTGCGGACCCTCGTCCCTGCCCCTTTCTCATGGGTGGACGGTCACTACGCCCAGTATCGCGAGACACTGGACGAGGGGCACTACACTCGTAAGCGTAGTGTCCTGTCTTTTGACATCTGTTGCATCTCTGCAACTTCTTGTAGCCTGTAGAGCGAGCCTTCTCGCTCTTTACATAACAGAGTTCCATCGGCTCTGGACCTCCGTTGTCATATCGTCTCGGTTGACGATATGATGTCGAGCTGGCGCGAGCCTGTCTCAGACTGAAGTCTTCCTGCTCCGCAATGGAAATGGCTTGTTTTAGTGAATCTAGTTCAAGCCGGGACAGGTGAGTCTTGACGGGACCATCTGCAAGACCCTGCATGAACACCGAAACCAACGTGTGTTCATCCACCGGATTGGAACTTATACAACTTGTGAGATGTCGTATATGTTGAGCTTAAGCGTGCACATCACGCTTACCCTGCTTGAGCTTCAAGAGTTCGGTTCGAGCTCTGAATTCAGCTCTAGGCGGTTCAAACGTTTGTCTGAGCCGCGACTTGAGGACTTCCAACGACCCAAACGCATATGGGTCGTGCTACTTGAGCCCCAGTGCCCAAGTCTTGGCACGTCCTGCCAGATTTGACTGGGCAAATGCAACTTGCATATCCCCGTCGTCGATGCGACGCGCCCTTATGACGTCATCCAATCCGACGAACCATCTCAAGAGGGATTCATCTTCGACTCCCCTATACTTGGAGATGTCAATCTTCAAGGTTTCGGGTCGACGCGAGTGCATCGACCCACCAGCAGCAGCCTGCTGCTGTCTCAACAGTTCAAACTGTTGAGCACCCTGTTCTCTCAACAACTCTGCTTGTTGAGAACCTTGTTGGTGAAGCAAGGCTACTTTCTCGCGTTCAGCGTCAAGTTCATTTTGAATGAACTTGGCGATAGTAGCATTTTTGGGCATCTCTATTGAGAGCCTCTAGCATGACGCTAACAGCATGGATGCCCATGGTTGAACCCATTCGTTCAACCGCATCCCATTCGACATCGCTCAAATGGGAGTAGCCGTCACGCGTAGCGTGGAAGCTTTGGTCATCTTCATCATCCAACATATTCATGTTGGATGTGAACGCGGTCCTTGGACGGACTACGAAGTGCTACCAGGTGTAACGGGGCACCCTGAAGCTTGTACTGGTGACAGTACAAGCTACTTATTCTGATGACGGAATAAGGGGGTGCCTCGTAACACTCGTACGTGCAGAGGAAGACGGTAAGAAGAAGCGAGTACTTGGTTAGAGTAAAAAGTAGAACTGCATTTATAATAGTTAATGTCTGCAATAAATCACTATTTATCTTCATCTAACTATGTCTAAATACAAATGTGTAAATCAACTATCTGCTCACCACGCAATGAGTGGTGAGCAGATAGTTGATTTACACACTCATTGCGTGGTGAGCAGATAGTTGATTTACACATTTGTATTTAGACATAGTTAGACGAAGATAAATAGTGATTTATTGCAGACATTAACTATTATAAATACAGTTCTACTTTTTACTTTAATCAAGTACTCGCTTCTTCTTACCGTCTTCCTCTGCACGTACGAGTGTACGTGAAGTTACGAGGCACCGCCTTATTCTGTCATCAGGATAAGTAGCTTGTACTGTCACCAGTACAATCTTCAGGGTGCCCCGTTACAATTGAGCTTTCTGACAACTACTACTATTCAGTGCTTCTGTGAAATAGAATCCAAAACGAGGGGTGTTGCTGTTGCATAAAGGAGGAGAGGAATCTTCTACTTTATAGACACCTTGAACAACCTTCCTATTTTGGAGACACCGTTATGCAACCTTTCTATTTTGCAAATACCTTATAAGTCTATCTCAATTTAACAGCTGTCTTCGCTGAAGAAATTCACGGTATACGATCCTGTTTACATTTTACCTCGTACGGGTTATCAGCAGACCGAAAATTAGGTAACCCTCCACGCATTGGGCGTATTTCTCTTATTACAGTACTTCGAAATAAAAAATTTTTTTTTATGTATATACAATGAGTATGTAACAAAATCATCAATTACTTTGCGATAATTAGCCTGGAGACAGAACTCGTTTTTAGTCGTAACCACGCTCATAGCTAGCTAAAACAGAGTGAGCCTGTGACATGTAATTAACCCTTAATACTTGCTTGATTGATTTATCATAAAGGCTGGAAATGTTCGCGAATATTACCGGATCATCAGATCAACCAGCTTTAGCTATCCAATAAACGATGGAAGCGCGCAATGAGGCGTGCGCAAGACCTTAGCACACATGTTTTTGTAGATACATAATATTAAGCTTGAGCTAAAACATAGGTACATGTATTTAGGACTAAATTGTATTCAATGCAGTTTTACTTTTATTAGCAACTGGTCAGTTTCTAGTTGCTTTTAATTCCTCTGCATAACCAATTGAGGTATCGGGTCACCACCCACGCTACTGTCAGTGATGTTAGATTCACACTGGTTGTCCAGCGTGTTGTTCCAATGCCGTGTTATAATATTTACGTGCTTCACGCTTAAGGTGCTCTTCTCTAACTGAAGCTGATTAACTGCGGCTTGGTTGTCGATCCACATTGGCACAGGCTCGGTCACTTGCGTCCTTGGCTTGTTCAGCAATTTCTTCGTGCATGCTAGCTCACGTCCTGCCTGCGACGCTGAGATGAACTTATCTTTTATTGAACTCAGTGACACCCCTGATTGCTTCTTCCATAAGTACAGGACAACATCACCATCTATTGCTTGCACACATCCCGAAAGATACCTACGGTTACCTTTGTCGGCGGCAAAATCTGCATCACTCCAACAATTAAGCCTTTCGTCCTCTGACATTGGCCCGACACCGTTTATATGAAACATCAGATTCTTTGACATCTTTGAAATATCTCACAACACGCTTGGCTTTCTTCCAGTCCTTGTTTGTCGGCTTGTGCGTCTTTCTCGTGGCTTTGTGCACTGCGAAGCAAATGTCTGGATGTATACACTTTGTATTCTACAGTAGATTTTCTACTAGCGAATGGAACGACTTCACACTAGGGCCACCCTTCCCTTCTTGCAGGTAGGTAATACAGATCGCTCTCTTCGTCCTGATTACGTTTTTCCTTAATAGAGTTCCGCACTCTGTTTTCTGACTCCACCCCAAACTTCTTTAGCGACAGGTCGATCGTGAGTTTTTAAACCCGAATGTGTTATTTAGAGTCGTCCAGTTAGATTCTTTTCCCCAAAATATTGCTCACGGTCCCCAAGACCTTGATCGACAATGGGCTCATCTCAGCAAGAAATATGACTTCAGCGCTTTGCTCGGTGCCTGCAATCAACAGGTCATTCACATTGACACCAATCAAAGTGCATGTCTCGCCTTTGTACTTGTAGTACAGGCACATGTCCGTCGTGCATCGCCAAAATCCACCTTGTAGCAGATTAAAGTCGAGTAATTTTCTCCACAGCCGCCCAAACTGTTTATGCCCATACAGTGAATTTTTAACAGTAAGACTAAATCTCTTGATAAATTTGCTCCGAGACCTTCTCTCTCTTGTTTTTCCAAAAACATCCCCTTCGGAACCTTAAATCAGGTGCTCCACCTTTTCCGCCTTAACATACGCATTTGGTATGTCACCATGGCGTGGTAGTACGTATCATCGTCTAGAGAGTACCAGGATCAACTTCACCGTTCCCAAGTTCATGACGGTCGCGCCTGCATGCGAATAATTCACTTTAAAGGCTGTTAACTTCGACAAGCAACCAAACGGGTATTTTACCGCTTGATGTCTCCGTTTATGTCTTTTTTTGGTCTAGTAGACTCACACGTTATGTAGAACATGCGCATTGTTCGGTGAAACTACCACCGTCACACGTCGTTCAACTTCAATGCATCCAACTCTATAGTCATATTAGTCATCTTTCGTTCTCTGGGTTCACGTTTCTGCCTTCTCCTTGTGTTTACGGTTTTGCACCATAATTGCACCTACCACATCTTGTTGCTCAGCAGGACCTCCACTTGAAGGTTTCTTGTCCGGTTGCTTGATAGTTAACCTTATGCCGTGACGTTCTTTTTCCCACCCGGACATTCCGCCTTTACAGCCCTTGGTAAACATTTCTTGGAAATATGTGGAACTTGAACACCTGGTTGACCCTTTTTTAACGACCTCTCATGACAATGGGATATTTCAAGTAGGATTTGAGCTGTCCATTTTGATCGTCCGTCAGTGTTTTGATGTTATGTATATGTTGTGTTAATCCAAACACCTTTTCCTTGGGGATGTAAACTTTGCACCCCTTCGTCTCGTCATCTATCCTAATACTTATGGCTGCCTTCCCGCCATCTCCAAGGGACTATTTTCTTGTATTGAAGTGAGTCGTGCAAGCTAAGCCGAAGCTTACGATTTTGTTCAGCATGGATATCGTAATTGTAACAAGGCACCCTGAAGCTTGTACTGGTGACAGTACAAGCTACTTATTCTGATAACAGAATAAGGCGGTGCCTCGTAACTTCACGTACACTCGTACGTGCAGAGGAAGACGGTAAGAAGAAGCGAGTACTTGGTTAGAGTAAAAAGTAGAACTGTATTTATAATAGTTAATGTCTGCAATAAATCACTATTTATCTTCATCTAACTATGTCTAAATACAAATGTGTAAATCAGTTATCTGCTCACCACTCATTGCGTGCGTCCGTCGTGGCGCGTCTTCGTTGGTTGATATAATGGCCTATATCAACCAATTAGGAACTACTTGGAAGTGCTACAGAATATTTGTCCTTATGACAATATTCTGAGAATATAACTCTTATAGTTATATTCTATTAACAATTTCTTATAAATTGTTATGTAACGATTCACCCCGTTACATCACCCCCCCCTTAACCATCAGTCACTTTAGTGACTGATTGACTAAATGGATACTCGTCCCAAATCATTTGGGACGGGGTTTGCACTTGTTGGTCCGCGTCCACTTTCCAACATCTCATCGCATGGTAAACAAGCCCATGCGATGCGCGAGCAAGGCCGCCGAGAGCGCGTCTGCACGTCTCTGTGCGGACGCCGAAGCAGAAACAACAGCAACTGATGTCCCATCGGTTGCTGAATCGACTCAGCCTGTATCACCTGGTGATGCAGGCGCTGGTCATGAAGACACTCGTGTCTTCACAGAGTACGAGCTCGGTGTCTCGTACTCTCCTGATACGGATGACGGATCCGTATCGACGGCAATTGAATCCAAGCCGCCTGCCAAGCGTGGCATGGAAGATGCTTTGCGTCGCAGCATCTTTGGTTCATCTGATGAGTCAGATGAACCATCGCCGAAGCGAAGGCGCTCGAGGTCGCGAGACTCGGGCGCTAATAGTGGTGTCGTTTCTCCAATGGACACCACTTCACAGCGATGTGCCAGTACTTCTGTCGGCACGTCGCAGGAAGAGCGGGACCGCAATGTGTTGCGTCTCGCTCCAGAAAAGAAGGCATGTATACCTCCTAAATCTGTCATGGATCACTTGTCGGCGACGACGAGTGATCGTTATCGAACACGATTGTTCGATTCGTCAAGGATTCATCACCTTGACCCCAGCGCGAAAGACTATCGCGCTGAACATGAGTTCTTCATCGATGCTTTCTTCAGACATCGATGGTACAGTGGGAATCACAAACGTGATGGTCCCTCACTACTTCAGGCGTGGAACGCCTACATCCATAATCTCGAGGATGTAGGTCGTGACGCTTGGAACGACAAACTTATCAAAGCTCGTGATAAGTTTGAAAAGCGAACCCCGACAGGTGCACGCTACAAGCTGCATCGTCTGTCAAGGGAGAAGGGATTACCCTGCCTCTCTTGGGGAGACTCGTGCCCATGTTGTGTGAACAACTCTGCACGAGCACCTAAGGAGGCTTACCTCCTTACCAGCCCGTGGTGGCGCGTACGTGTCTCTACTGAG